TGGCTTGTAGGGTGCCAGCTCCGCCGAATCTGAGAGTTTGGGGGGGTGAGATGTGGGTTTTTTTCTTCTTCTTTTTTCTTTCCCTTCTTCTTCTCAAGTGCTACTCTATTCTATTCTATTCTATTCTATTCTATTTCTGTTCTCACGCCGCCATTTCTCATTTTTTTTTCTCTGTCCGCATATACGCTTGGGTATTTGTATCTCCTCGCTAACGTTTCTAGAAGCCATCTTCCTAGATGCGTTGAAGAATCACACCGTCGAGGGGACCGAGGCCGGCTCGATTGATCTGGTTCTACGCAATGCACCGGGCAGGGGGAATATGCACTTGGTGCAGATGGTCTGTCGTGGTTCTTTCGAGGTTTGTTAGATCACAAAGGTTTGTGTGAGTTGACCTGCTGATGCCTAGCCAAGTTCGATATCCTGTACTCGAGTCGCGCAGAAGCGCAAGCCATGACCTGCATGTCTCTTCATTCCTCACATGAACCTGCCGTATCGTACTGACGAGCTGCAGCTGCTGAACTGACTCGTTCCCTCGAGAGCGCCACCGACTCGTTTCACCAGGATTTCGCAAGAGTGTTCAATCCCCGCAAGCCGTTCAAGACGGACCAGCATGTTGAATTTTCAAAAACCGTGCTGTCGAATCTGCTCGCCGGCCTAGGCTATTTCCATGGTACGACCAAGGTCGATACGTCCAACTATGCCGAGACGACTGCCAAGTTCTGGGAGGTGGCGGAAGAGGCCAGCAAGCATGCTGTACCGGAGACGAGAGGGCCGTACGAACTCACCTCGTTTACGCCTTCGCGTTCCGTCTTTCCGCGGGGCTTTTGGGGGGATGAGGGGTTTCATCTTCTCCCTGTCATGGAATGGGATGTCGATCTGGCCCTGGAGGTGCTGCAGAACTGGCTTGCGCTCATGGATGAGGACGGCTGGATTGCGAACGAGCAGGTTCTGGGCGAGGAAGCAGAGGGCACAACACCTGAATCCCTCATACAGTACCCGCACCTTGCGAGTCCACCAACCATGTTCTTGGCGGTGGACAAGTTTGTCGACATGCTCGAGGGCACTACCGAGTACCACGGCCGCAAGTCCTTGTATCTGCGCAACCCTGAGACGGGGACAGCGCTGTTGGCGGACTTGTACGTAAAGTTGCAGAAGCACTATCAGTGGTTCCGTACCTCGCAGTCAGGAGACGTGGAGATTCACTCCATTCCCTCTGCGAACCTCGACGAGGGCTACCGATGGCGAGGCCGCACGCCCGAAACCAACGTAGCCAGCGGCCTCGACGACTTTCCACGCCCCGAACCGCCCGATGTCACTGAACTCCATCTTGACGCCCTATGCTGGGTCGGCGTCATGGCGCGGACACTGCAACGCATCGCGACCCTACACCCCTCGACCGCCTCCGACTTACCCACCTACCAAACCCAACTCCGCAACATCCTCAAGAACATAGACGCCCTACACTGGGACGCCCAAAACCAAGTCTACTGCGACGCCGTCGTCCGCAACGACAAACACACCCTCGTCTGCCACATAGGCTACCTCTCCCTCTTTCCCTTGCTCACCGGCCTCCTAGACCCCCACCACCCGCACCTAGCCCCGACCCTCGACCTCCTCCAAGACCCCGCCCACCTCTGGACCCCACACGGCCTCCGCAGCCTCAGCCCCTTCCGACACTCCGCTACGCCAAAGCAAACAACCACTACCGGTCCCCCATTCCACCTCCACTTCAATTTCTTCACTTTCACCAACTTCCTCATATCGTGCGCTCCCTAGGCCCCTCTAAAAACC